ATCTGAATGCTGAGCAAATAATCTGAGAAGTTGGACTATATGAAGAAGAACACAGCATCGGGATTGGAGGAAGACTCATTAACAGCTTGCAATATGCAGATGACACAACCTTGCTTGCTGAAAGTGAAGAGGACTTGAAGCATTTACTGATGAAGATCAACGACTGCATCCTTCAGTACGGATTATGCCTCAACATAAAGAAAACAAAAATCCTCACAACTGAACCAATAAACAACATCATTTTAAAATGAGAAAAAATTGAAGTTGTCAAAGACTTCGTTTTACTTGGATCCACAATCAACGCCCATGGAAGCAGCAGTCAAGAAATCAAATGACATATTACATTGGGCAAATCTGCTGCAAAGTACCTCTTTAAAGTGTTAAAAAGCAAAGACCTCACTTAGAGGACTAAGGTGCACCTGACCCAAACCATGGTTTTTTCAGTTGCCTTATACGCATGAGAAAGCTGGACAATGAATAAGGAAGACTGAAGAAAAATTGATGCATTTGAATTATGGTGTTGGCAAAGAATATTGAATACTGTGGACTGACAGAAGAACAGACAAACCTGTCTTGGAAGAAGCATAACCAGAATGCTCCTTAGAAGTGAGGATGACAAGACTTCATCTCACATACTTTGGACATGTTGTCAGGAGGGACCAGTCCTTGGAGAAGGACATCATGCTTGGTAAAGCAGAGGGTCATCAAAAAAGAGAGGACCCTCAATGAGATGCATTAACACAGTGGCTGCAACAATGGGCTCAAGCATAACAACGATTATGAGCATGGCGCAGGACCGGGCAGTGTTTCATTCTGTTGTACATAGGGTTGCTGCAAGTTGGAACTGATTTGACAGCACCTAGCAACAGTCCATGAGCACCAGTGCACAAGAGTCCCTATATCCCCATGTTCCTGCCAACACTGATCTTTTCCCAGCTTTCTGATCTTGGCCAGTCTGATAGATGTACAGTTAAATAGATTGCATTTCTGATTACGATTGAATTTGAGCATCTATTCACATGCTTGTTAGCTTTTTCTGGCTTACTCTTCTGCGAATTGTCTTTTCATATGCTTTGCTCATTTTTCTACCCAGGTTGATCTCTTTTTCTTGTCAATTTGCAGGAGACCGTGGCACATTCTTCTCAGTTGAAGACTTTCCATATACTCTTCTTATGCCAATTTTGGCATTTTATATTCATTTTATCCACTTCATCTAAGTTTTAAAATTTATAAATGTGGAGTTGTTAATGATACTCTTATTATTTTTAAGACATCTGGTGTCTGTTGCTTCCCATTTTTCACTCTGTTTAATTTTCATTTTCTCTTGATCAGTTTTGCCAGAGGACTCTTAGCAATCTTTTCAAAGAATGAGTGTTAGGTTTTTAAAATAATCTTTTCCCCCCTCTTTCACTGATTTCTGCCATTATCTTTATTCCATTCTTTTTTTGGGGGGGGGAGGGGGAAGTTTGCTTTGCTGCTCTTTTCTCAGCTTCTTGAGGTAATTTATGAACATATTATTTTTTAATGCTTCTTTCCTGATAAATTTACTTCTAAGTATTGCTTTAGTTGCGTCCCAGATTTTCACATGTAGTTTTTTTTTTTTAATTTTTTTATTTTGAAATGATTATTGGCTCACAGGGAGTTGCAAAAATAGTACATAGAATCCCTTGAACATTTCCTCCAGCTTCCTCATGGTGGCATCTTATATAACTGCAGCATATTAGCAGGAAATTGACATTGGTTCAAAACTCTTAACTAGACTACAGACTTTGTTCAGTTTTCATCAGATTTTATATGCAGTCTTTTGTGTGTGTGACATGTAGCGTCATTATTACTCAGTTCTAGATTATTTTAAATTTCCCTTCTGAACCAAGGGTTATTTAGCAATATGTCAGTTAACTTCCACAGACTCAGGGGTTTTAAGCATCCTTTATTATTCTGGTCTCGTTGCTTCTGGTGGGAGAACAGCCTGTATAATAACCATCCTTTAGATAAACCAATGGCCTCTGCAAACACCGTGTTTCAGTGGGAGGACCTGGAGGGAAGTGACAGCAATGCTTTGAGAAGCTTAGGTGGTGGGTGGGGGTTAGGTTGGAGGGGAGACAATGGAGATGGGAAGAGCTGCAACCCAGAAGGTCTCAGGGATCCTATGTCACAGAAGCTAACACAACCAACTTTCTCTCCAGAAACAGTGACTCAGAGGCAGGTGGACAGAGAATTTGAGGACTGAGGAGAACCCAGCTTGGGACCTAGACTGAAGCTGGTTACAGACTGACCTCTAGCGTCCAGGACCCATACACGAGACCATGGGACTCCAGCATCTGAGCCTTTTGAAGCTGCTTTGCCTCCTAGGGACCATCTCCTCTCTGCCTCGTATGTCATGTGGGGTTGGGTGCTTTGGGACCCCAGAGTGTGAGGGGCTGGATATCTGGGTCCCTCAGGGGACAAGGTCTGTGGAGGCTGAGCTCTTGGTTGCCAGTCCTGGAAAGTGGAAGAATCCAGGGGCTGAGGAGGCAGTGTAAGGGGCAGATGACTGGAAGAGCTTTCTCTTTCTAGGGGCTGGGGCTCTTTTGTGCTATGAAGCAACAGCCTCACTCTTCAGAGCAGTTACTCTCCATAACTGGAACTGGCATCTGATGAGGAGCATGGTGTGCCAGCTGAGAGAGGGCTGCGAGGAGACCCTACTGTTCATCGAGACAGGTGACGTGAGGAGGGGTTTGATATATTTCTTTTTGCACGTTATTTTGGCCCCCAGCACCCAGGGACTCTGGACTGGAATTCCAGATATTTACGCAATTATAGCTTTGGGGCTAACATCAGGACAGTGGCAGGAGGCCCAGATGGTTGTGGTGTGGATTGGATAAGAGGGTAGGATGGAGGTGGGCAGGTCCCAATCTAGGGGAGAAGAAAGGGCAGGGTGAACGGGAGAGAGGAGCAGAGGGGCTCCTGCAGGGAGAGGAGTGAGGGGATGCTGACGGAGCCCCAGCATTTGAGCCCTGGCTAGCTGCAGTGACCAGACACTGGGGGCGGGGCAAAGCTGCCCATGGGGCAGAGTGGGTGCAGGAAAAGCAGGGTGTGGGAGCGTGGAGTCTGGGTGGGGCCAAAGACACTGATCAGAGCTCTCTAATCCTCTGCTCCTCAGGGACCAAAAGGGGAGTTGTGGGTTTTAAAGGCTGCACCCCAGCCTTATCTTACCCCCCGCAAGTGGCTTACCTCATTTCACCACCTGGAGTGTCCATTGCCTCCTATAGCCGCGTCTGCCGGAGCTATCTCTGCAACGACCTGACCAACTTGGACCCTATTGTGAAACTCAAAGCCAACACTCCTTCGTCTATAGAATTTTCTTCTCATACTTGCCCCACTTGTGTGGGCGAGCACACTAAGGACTGCCTCCCAAATTTTGTCGCCACTGAATCTTGCCCCCAGGGCGCCTCTGTGTGTTACAGTTCCACCTTAAAATTTCGGGCAGGTGAGAGGAGGCAACTTTGGTTCTCAAAGGCCACCAACTCTATTTCAGGTGTTGTCTAGTACCTTTATGTCTGTGAGAGAGGCTGGTGGGATCTGGAGGTGGGATCAAGGTTGCAGGGGCTCAGGCACATGAATTTCCTGAGGAGGAAGGGGTAAGGCACCTGGTGCCCAAGCCTTTGGTGGGAGAGCAGTTTCCGGTTTTTGAGGGACATCTGGAAAGAGGGGCAGGACACATGAGTCTTTTTTTTTTTTTTTATTGTACTTTAGATGAAGGTTTACAGAGCAAACTAGTTTCTCATTAAACAATTAATACATATATTGTTTTGTGACATTGGTTGCCAACCCCACAACATGTCAACACTCTCTGCTTCTCGACCTTGGGTTTCCCATTACCAGCTTTCCTGTCCCCTCCTGCCTTCTTGTCCTTGCCGCTGGGTTGGTGTGCCCATTTAGTCTCGTTTCATTTTACGGGCCTAATATTTGGCTGAAGGGTGAACCTCAGGAGTGACTTCAGTACTGAGTTAAAAGGGTGTCTGGGGGCCATACTCTCAGGGTTTCTCCAGTCTCTGTCAGACCAGTAAGTCTGGTCTTGTTTTGTGAGTCAGAATTTTGTCCTACATTTTTCTCTGGCTCAGTCTGGAACCCTCTGCTGTGATCCTTGTCAGAGTAGTTGGTGGTGGTAGCCAGGTACCATCTAGTTGTTCTGGACTCGGTCAGGACACGTGAGTCTTGAAAGGGTTCCCAACTCCCCTCTCTCTTTCTTACAGGGCATCTCAATACTACCTTTCTCCTTATGGGCTGTGCTCGTGATTATCAAAGGCTTTTAGCAGATTTTCGGACAATAGGGAGCATCCGAGTGACTGAGGTTCGTAACATCTTGGAGAAGGCCCAGATTGTGAGCGGAGGGCCCTCCAGTCGGAGTCCTGCATATGGCGTCCTCTTAGGCCTCCTGCTTGCCTTCAGGGACTGACCATCCAGCTGGACTAGACAAACACCCTGGCCCCTTTGCAATGATCAAATAAAGTTACAGAGTTGTCTTTATGCTTTATTCTGTGGTCCATGAGACTTGTGGCAGCATGGAAGGTGTGAGGAGGACCAGAGTGCCCAGGCAGGTGGGGCCACATATTGGGCAGCGTGCATGGCGAAGATATGAGGGCAAGGGGGTGGGAGGGGAAGAGAGGAAGAAAATATCTGGTAAAGTGACAGCGTTCCAGGAGGAACTCAAACGTTCCTTTTGGCCTCCCACTTCCTCCGGGGACCTGAGCTCTGGCCTGGGTCCAGCCCTGATTTATGAGATCCTGGCCAAATCCCTTCCCTTTTCTGGGCCTCAGTTTCCTCCTGTTTATAATGAAGGGCCTCATGAGTTAGCCCTGAGCCTCAGCAGGGTGATGTGCAACTTGAAGCCTGGACTTATGTTTTCAAAGATGACCAAGTGTCTGTTTGTGTCAGATACTGTGCTACTATCTGAGCTCGTGTTTTACATACAGGCTCTCATTTTGTCCTCACAAGGCCTCTTCGAGATGGGTTATTTCCCTTATTTTACAAGGAAGAAACTGGGTCTAGGAGATTCCCCTCAGATCTCTGTCCCTGCTGAGGGAATTTGACCAGAAAACTTGGAGACCTGAGCTGTTTTCCTCTGCTTAGTGTTTCTTAATGTATGTTGGCAAATAAGGATGAGAGAGAAACTAGGCGGAGTGTGGCTAGTTTTCACCCAAAATCCAGTCTCCTGACTTCTGGGAGTGGGCAATGTGATTCCTCTCTCTGGCCATAAGGGGGCAGCAGATACACCCACCCTGCAACTTCACTCCTTCAAGTTTGGGGTGTGTGTGTGTGTGTGTGTGTGTGTGTGTGTGTGTGGTGTGTAGGGGTGGAGAATAGGGAAGGGAGAGTCTCTGTGCTAGGCCATTTACATGTGCGACCTCCATTTAATTCTCTCAGCCACCTTATGATGTGGGAAGGTAGGGACTTTGGGCACTTTTACCGTGGGTGTTATGGATTGAACTGTGTCCCCCAAAAATCAACTTGGCTAAGCCATGATTCCCAGTATCGTGTGATTGTCCACTATTTTGTCATCTGATGTGATTTTCCTGTGTTGTAAATCCTACCTTTATGATGTTAAGGAGACAGGATTAGAGGCAGTTATGTTAATGAGGCAGGACTCAATCTACATTAGGTTGTATCTTGGGCCAATCTCTTTTGAGATATAAAAGAGAGAAGCAAGCAGAGAGACAGGGGGACCTCACGCCACCAAGAATGAAGAACCAGGAGAGGAGCGTCCTTTGGACCCGAAGTCCCTAGGAGCTGAGAAGCTCCTAGACCGGGGGAAGATTGATGACAAGGACCTTCTGCCAGAGCCGACAGAGACAGAAAGCCTTCACCTGGAGCTGGAACCCTGAATTCAGACTTCTAGCCTCCTAGACTGTGAGAAAATAAATTTCTCTTTGTTAAAGCCATCCGCTTGTGGTATTTCTGTCATAGCAGCTCTAGACAGTGGGTAAGCATTTTCTGTGCATTATCGCATTCATTCTTACTACAACCTTATTAAATAGATATTATCATTCTGTATTTCCATTTTACAAGTGAGGAAACAGGCTTAACTTGCCTGAGGCCACAAAGCCTGCCTTTGTTAATAGATTGGCAAGTTGGGTCTGAGACATGGGGCAATTGGCCTTAGGAGTGGGACTGGCATTGAGACCTCCATTAATATGGCCAGGTTGTGGAAGGGCTGGCTGGGAAGCCAAAGGAGGTCATGGTAAATGGAGCAGGCCTGAGTGGAGACCAGATATCCTGTGGCAAGAGACTATTAGGTCATTGAGGAAGGATTTTGTGTGTGTGCAGGGGGCTTCACTACCCTTTCCTTACTTCTGACCAGTTGGGCTGTATCTTAGTTTTACAGTGCTGTTATAACAGAAATACCACAAGGGAGTGGCTACAACAAACAGAAATTTATTTTCTCATAGATTAGGAGCCTAGAAGTCTGAATTCAGGGACCCAGCTCTAGGGGAAGGCTTTCTCTGTCTGTTGGCTCCAGGGGAAAGTCCTTGTCTCTTCAGCTTCTGTTTTCCTGGTTTTTTGGAGATCTCCAAGTGGCTTGGCATTATCTTCTCCTGTCTCTCTGCTTGCTACCTTGCTTGTATAATTCCTTTTATATCTCAAAAGAGATTGACTCAAGATACACCCTACACTAATCCCACTTCATTAACATAACAAAGACAACTCACTCCCAGATAGAATTACAACCAGAGTTATAGAGGTTAAGATTTATGACACATATTTTTTGAAGACACAATTCAATCCATATCAGGCTGGTAGATAATTTTAGAGGACTGAGTTGAGAGGAAGCAGTCCTGGGTGTTTAAGGCATACTTCCTCGGATTCTCTTAACTCCATTAGCCAAGATGGTGAAGACATCAAACATCTACAAAGAAAGTTTGAAAAGTTAAAAGGATGGTGTTCTAAAGGTCCCAAATGGATGCTCTTGATCCTGATACCATGGTTGTTGTTCTTAGGTGCCGTCGAGTCAGTTCTGACTCATAGTGACCTCATGTACAAAAGAATGAAACACTGCCCCATCCTCCTCCATCCTCACAATCGTTGGTATGCTTGAACCCATTGTTGCAGCCACTGTGTCAGTCCATCTCATTGAGGGTCTTCCTCTTTTTCTCTGACCTTCTACTTTACCAAGCATGATGTCTTTCTCCAGGGACTGATCCCTCCTGATAACATGTCCAAAGTATGTAAGATGAAGTCTCTCCATCCTTGCTTCTAAGGAGCATTCTGGCTGTACTTCTTGCAAGACAGATTTGTTAGTTCTTTTGGCAGTCCAAGGTATATTCATTATTCTTCTCCAACAGCATAATTCAAAGGTGTCAATTTTTCTTCTGTCTTCTCATTCATTGCCCAGCTTTCATATGCATATGAAGCAACTGAAAACACCATGGTTTGGGTCAGGCACACTTTAGTCTTTAAAGTGACATCTTTGCTTTTTACCACTGTAAAGAGGTCTTTTGCAGCAGATTTGCCCAATGCAATGCATCATTTGATTTCTTGACTGCTGCTTCCATGGTCGTTGATTATGGATCCAAGTAAAATGAAATCTTTGACAACTTCAGCCTTTTCTCCATTTATCATGATGTTGCTTATCGGTCCAGTTGTGAGGATTTTTGTTATAAGTTGAGATGTAATCCATACTGAAGGCTGTGGTCTTTGATCTTCGTCAGTAAGTGCTTCAAGTCCTCTTCACTTTCAGCAAGCAAGGCTGTGTCATCTGCATAACGCAGGTTGTTAATGAGTCTTCCTCCAATCCTGATGCCTCATTCTTCATGTAGTCCAGCTTCTTGGATTATTTGCTTAGCATACAGATTGAATAAGTATGGGGGATACTGGAAGCTTTGCCACAGGTATTTCAAATACCAAAAAACTACCATGGTTAGGATTTATTTATTACATGCAAAATATTACATGTAGCAAAAATGTTGGTTATGAAGTAACATTTAATGAATCCCATGAACATATCACCCAACCCTAGAAGTAAGACATCTAAAGTAACTTGCATTTTACCTATAACTTCCTTCCTATTCCTCCTTGCTTCACCTCAAAAAGTAACTGCTACTCTACATTTTAGTTAATTTTACTTTACTTGGATTTTTTATATACTTTGGTCATATGTCTACTATATTTAAACAATAACTATTGATTAGATTTGCGTGCTTTTGAACACTGTGAAAAACAGCATCATATTATACATATTCTTCTGGAAATTTCTTTTAAAAACTTACTATGTTTCTAATATTCATCCATGTTCCTATATTGGCTTTGTTCTTCCATTTTCACTGATGTATAATATCTTATTGTGTTATTATATTGCAGTTTACTTATCCATTCTCTTGTCAATTATTTTTGGCATTTTCCCAGTTTTTGACATCATGGACATTGCTGCTATGTCCATTGCTGCTATTCTTGTACATTTCTCCTGGTGCTTGTGTGGAAGAATTTCTCCTGGATGTTCACCTAGAGTGGAATTTCTGGGCTGTAGGGTTTGTTCAGCTTTGAGAGACAATGCCAGATTGTTTTCCAAAGTGGTTATACGAATTAAAGGAGCCCTGATGGCACAGTGGTTAAGCACTCGGCTGCTACCTGAAAGGTTGGTTGTTTGAACTCACCAGCTGCTCCACAGGAAAAAGGTATGGCAATCTGCTTCTGTCAAGATTACAGCCTTGGAAGCTCTATAGGTCAGTTTTACTCTGTCTTATAGGATAGCTATGAGTTGGAATTGACTCAACAGCAACGAGTTTGGTTTTTGAGTTTGTACCAGTTGTATCCACCACATGTCTGTCAGTTTGCCCTACTGTTCTGGCTTGCATGTTGATGTGATGCTGGAAGCTATGCCACCAGTATTCAAGTACCAGCAGGTCTCCCATGGTGGACAGGTTTCAGTGGAGCTCCCAGACTAAGACAGACCAGGAAGAAGGACCTGGAGGTCTACTTCTGAAAAAATGGGCCGGTGAAAACCTTATAAATAGCAGTGGAACATTGTCTGGTGTCTTAGGCTGGGTTCTCTAGAGAAGCAAAACCAGTAAAGCATATATATCTATATATATATCAAGGCTCCTTCGGTTTTAGAGGCTGGAATGTTCCAAGTCTGTGGGTCAGGCTGGAGACTTCTCCTGATTCATGTAGCCACAGGGGCTGGTGAACCCTCAGCAGATCAGACAGCAGTGCTCTGGCTCACAGGCTGTGAAGATTGCTGACTCCCAAGATGGCAGGCAAGACAACAGGTAAGCTGCTAGCTCAGGTCCCAAGAACTGGAGGTCAGACGAACAGGAGCCAGCTGCAGGATCCAGGGTGAGCAAAAGCCCACCAGACCTGCCAGAAAGCCCACCCATATTGGATGCAGGTCACATCCCCCAGGGAAACACCACTTTAAACTGGTTGGCTACTCACAGCAGATCCCATCATGATGGTGATCAC